ATTAATATGATAGAAAAACAATACAATTTATAGTGTAGATTAAACAGAGCAAATATATTTTCTTTTACCTTGAATTTTGATAAAAATACTATCCAACAAGAAAGTTAACTGTTGCTAACTGCAATTTCAATCACAAGCGTGTTTCGCGAACAATAACGAAACGTTATTTCTATATTTTAATACTTTAATTTAAATAAATTCTCCTCAACCTAATTTTAAAAATGTTTAGTATAAGTTAACAGACGCTGGGTATAAAGACTAAGTCGAACTACACAACCAAAAACTCAACCGTGTACCGCTTAAGTGTTTACTATTTTAATGAGCGTCGCACACCCCGCCACCTTGTGGGATGGTACTACCTCCCCCACCCCCTTCGACTTACATCTCCAATCCCCACCACCTTTCATAGATAAAGCGACCAATCAGGTCAAAGCAAAGCCACAGCGACACACTGTTGACGCGAACCCATATGAGAGTGAAAGGTGGGGTGGTGTAATGGCTGATTTTTTAAAGGGATTTTTCAAAAATATAATTCTACTAGCCGACCCGCGGTGTATCATACGCCGCTATTTAGTTGTTGTTTTTTTCTACTTTTCAGTAATTCATAATTTGTGAATTCGACAGTACCAATGCTGCCACTGAATTATTCGCTTTAAAACACTAAACCCCCCTCCCCCCCCCCCTACGTGAAAGCAGCCTCCTCTTAGTTACCTCCTCTAAGTTTAAAATCGTTTCAAACTAAATTATCTGCCCCTAATAGCCGTCACCAAAACCCGTATCTGTGATTGTAAAATGTAAACATTTAGAGTGAACACCGCTCACCAGACCTTGTGAGGGGGGGGGGGGGGTTGATGGCGATAGAGAGGAAGAGAGGGGACTGTAAGGAGCGCTTGCAGCTTGTTTTCTAACGGCTCCCAGAAGAGAATTATATATATACGAGCCGGCCCGCGGCATAACATACGCCGCTATTTAGTTGTTTCTAATTTTCAATAATTCATAATTTGTGAATTCGACAGTACTAACGCTGACACTGAAAATATTTCTTTAAAACACTATAAGTAGCTCGTTAAGGACCATAACCCCCCCCCCTTCCTTCCCCTCCCCCTCCCCCCCCCCCCCCCCTACGTTTAAAATCGTTGGCTCTGCTTGTAAACATTTAGAGTGAACACAGCTCACTAAAACCATGTAGGGGTGGGGAGGTAGGGAGAGCGTTTGCAGCTTGTTTTCTAACGGCTCGAAGAGGAGAATTATATATATAGATATAGATACTAATATTTTAAAAAAATAACGGTTTGATCTGCTTTTGTGGCAAAAATAGGGAAATTGATTAGGTCGTGTTCAAACTCGCAACGTTTACTTTCGCCATACGCTACGTGTTTCTTTAAGTCATTTTTCTACCTGTGTTTGTGTGATGGGGGGGGGGGTAGGGGAGCAATTGAAACTTTCAGGAGGAGGTCTGGTATAATACCCCACCCACCCGTCAATTATCCCCCCTCCCCTCTACGGACATTTCCGCCCCCTCCCGACATTATCCTCCCGGAGTCATTATCCATGACAATTAAACCCGGGGGGAGGGGGGGGGGTGATTGAAACATTCGGTAGGTGGGGCATAAGTAAATTTCTGGGGGAAATTAAAAAATATTCATCTTTTGGGTTAGCGATCCTTTTCGACAGATGAAATAAAGCTCATTCGGCATATGAAGCGATGATGTGTTCAGCACTGTCCCCAGCCGCCTTTGCTTTCCCCCAAGGTAAGCCGGGTACTCATCAGAGCTGAGTGGACTCAGGGACGTCCTACCGACACAAGTTCGAACCGAGGTGAATTACGTAATGGCTGTATCAGACATGATGTGAGAAGTGGGTCTAGGACATTGTCAATTACCCCCCCCCCCTCCCACCACGGACATCCCCCTCCCCCGCGATATAATCTCCCGGAGTCAATACCTTCCTGTTAATTACACCACCCCCATCCTGAAGAACCCTAACCCTAACTCGGCGGGGGACAATTGACAAGGGGTAGTTGCTCCGGTGGGTAATATCCGGGTGTGTGTGTGTGTGTGTAAGGGGGGGGGGGGTTAATGTCCTGCTCCAGTTAGAAATACAGGCAGGTCTAGATAAGATGTGTTATCAGTGTTTCTTCCAGGAATTTTGGTCTACCGCCCCCCCCCCCTCCCCCCCGAACGAAATAGAATTTGTATAGAAAATATATACCTTTAACAGTGTCCGCCCACCCGGCAATTTTATTTCGCCCCCTGAAAATTTCAAGTCTCCCCCCCCCCCCCAATTCCCCACGGAGAAAAACGTCTGGAAGAAACATTGTGTGTTATTTACTGGAACGAGAACCTTTCTGCTATACCTGTTGTCTCTTTGTGTCGTTACCATAGCCAGAGGCTTAGCGAGGAGGGGGGGGGGGGGCGAGGGGTGCGGACCGCACCGGGTGACACCATTTAGGGGGGTGACACCAAGGCAAAAAATAGCAATATATATAGAGAAAAACTTGAGAGGGGGGGGGTGCAAATCGAAAGCATGAGGGGGGGGGGGCGTGCAAAATTGAAAATTTGAAAGTTTGTCCCCGGGAAGGGTCGCTACGCCTCTGGGGGGTGACACCATTAAGTGCCGCACCGGGTGACACCCGACCTCGCTACGCCACTGACCATAGCAACAGCACGGTCTGAAACAGTTACTGTTTACTCCAGAAAAAAAAAACGTGTTGTTTGCTTTAACGCTGGTCGATATTGGGCAAACAGGAGACCGGTCCACTGAATTACAAAAGAAAAAAAAACACAGTTCATATTTGTGAAATGCTACATTAAACAGAGAATGCATTGCGTTAGACGAGTGAAACAATGATCCACGTTTTGCATGTTTTATAAGCTAATAGAACTTTGTTAGTTTTGGGTGATCTTTTTGCTTGAAAGCAAAGAAAAACCACAGTGTCATGTAGCGAATGGCGCGAATATGACGATCCATAATAAAATGATCAATGTACTCGTTTTGGTGTGCTTGTCATTGGTTCATTCAGAGGCGTAGCGACCCTTCACGGCGCCCGGAAACAAACTTTCGATTTTCACCCCCCCCCCTCAAACTTTCAATTTACTTGTTCCAACCCATTTTTGCTCCACCTAAGGTGGCCCCCGGAGACATATGTCCCCCCCCCCGTTGCCTCCTCCTCCCCCCCCCATCGCTACGCCTCTGAGTTCATGTGTATGGGCCGTTTGACTTCAGCAGTGTGGAGATGAATGATTGACAATGGGGTGTTTTAAAGACATAACAAAACAATAAAACACCCTTTTACCCCTTTGAAGAGGCGTAGCGACCCATTCCGACGCCCGGGGCGTACAATTAATTTTGGCCCCTACCCAGAGGCGTAGCGAGGGTGGGGCGGGGCGGGGGTTGACACCAAGACAAAAAATTCTTAATGTACACAAGAAAAATGCTTTTTAACGGTTGCTATTTTGATATTCCACAACGAATGAAGAAAACAGTTAATCAAGTCATTATTCTTAACTTCGACTGTGTATAATTCAGTATAGAAGCTCACAATAAGCTTTTTTTTCTTTTACCCCGTTTGGCGCCCCCTTAGCGTTGGCGCCCGGTTCGGCAGCCCCACCCGCCCTCCCTTAGCTACGCCTCTGCTCCCTTTGTGTTCGATATGTAAAATATTTATAACACCTGACCCAACGACTTTACAACTTTGACCCCAGTCCATACCAACAACAAGTACGACACGAGTCTTTTGTTTCTATGCACTCGCCTACACTACCTGAACAAAGCTGGCTTCTTACGTACGCGGTCAAGCTACTTGGCAAGAGGAAGGGGCCAGTGTTTCTTCCAGACATTTTCCCCAGGGGGGGGGGGGGAAGGGTACTCACTTGAAATTTTCGGGGGGGGGGGGGGCGGACTGAATATTCCGTGGGGGGGGGGGGGCGGACATTGTTAAAAGTAAATATATTCTATATAAATTCCATTTCGTTCAAGGGGGGGGGGGGGGTAAACTGTCTTCAGAACAAACACTGAGAGGGGCGCATCGGTTGACCCCTAGTTTGAGGGGAGGGGGGGGGGGCGATACAAATTTAAAAAAAATCCAGTTTAAAAAAAATAAAAGATGATGTGGGTTTAGATTAGCTATCAGTTATGGTTGAATGATCTTGAAGCACCATCTGTTAGGCGTTTGTGTTGAAACTAAAAGTTACTGCACCAGAGGATACCCCACCTTGTGATCTATGTTCGTTGTTACCTCTAAGCTGCGCAGTTGCGCCACCGCGCTGTTTTGAACCTGCCGCGCATTCATTTTAGTAGTCTATATCCTTGTATAAGACATTTACAACACCGTGCACACAAAATACACGTCACCGGTAGCGTAGCCAGGATCGTCTCATGGGGGGGGGGGTTCAAATTTTTACAACCCCCCCCCCCCCTCAAACTTTCGATTTGCACCCCCCCCCCCCTCTCAAACTTTCGATTTGCACCCCCCCTTCAAACTTTCGATTTACACCCCCTCATACTTTATATAAATATACCGAGGGGTCTATTGGGGGGTTTATGACCCCCCCTAACCCCCCCTGCCTACGCCCCTGCATGTCACACATTGTTCCCCCTACTTAGTGGGTACGTTGATTATGTCGCCACCGTGCTGTTGATATTAGGTGCGGCATTATTGACTTGAAAAAAACCAACACAAATTCACTTTTATTATTCGCTCATGTTTTATTGCACTCAATGAAATCGTAAAAAAAAGCAGGTAAATTACATATCCGGGTATCGTTTCTCACGTTAGTAATCTCGAATTACATGGGCGTTTACATTAACATCGGCATGTCAAAAGGCGTGTCCAGGCTGCTTCTTCAAGCATAAAACAAATACAGATGTTAGTAAGTGGGTTCACATTATACTCAATTTGTTTCGTGGACGGGGATTCTCAAATTTTATTTGAGACATTTTCTATTAGCTTGCCAATACCTAATGCATTCAGGCATCTGACTTTACGGCACTTGACTTACCGGCACCTGACTGTCCGGCACTTGACTTTCCTGCACCTGACTGTCCGGCACCTGACTATCCGGCACCTGACTTTCTAGAACCTGACTGTCCGGCACCTGACTATCCGGCACTTGACTATCCGGTACTTGACTACTCGGCACCTGACTTTCCGGCATCTGACTATCCGGCACTTGACTTCCCGGCACCTGACTGTCCGGTACTTGACTACCCGGCACCTGACTTTCCGGCATCTGACTATCCGGCACTTGACTGTCCGGCACTTGACTTCCCGGCACCTGACTGTCCGGTACTTGACTACCCGGCACCTGACTTTCTGGCATCTGACTATCCGGCACTTGACTGTCCGGCACTTGACTTCCCGGCACCTGACTGTCCGGTACTTGACTTTCGAGCACCTGACTTTCTAGAACCTGACTTTCGAGCACCTGACTTTCTAGAACCTGACTTTCGAGCACCTGCCTATCCAGCTACAGGTCATCCTCATGTATCGGCCAAGGGTCAACGTTCTGCACCAACCATCCATGTAGCGATGTCGTCTGTTCCTACAGGTCAGTCACTCAATACCCGAGAAATCCGCACAGGCCTCATCAGTGTACAGAGTTTAAATATTGGACATTGGTCAAGTGTTTCTGGTCCAACTGACTCGAACCCCGGAAACCGAACTCGAGTCTTTCCGGTTAGCTGTTATATGTTCTAAGTTCTCTACCATCCTATAATAGGCTTTTCTATATGGAGGCTGTTGGCCAACGAAAACTATATTTAACGTTATATAGGGTGGGGTGTTGATCATAAAAAAAAACAACAAAAAAAAAACAACAAACAAACATGGTAGATCTATATAAAAAATCAAACTATAAATATGGAACAAAATTCTCATTTTTAAAAAAGATGTAGACACTCCTATTAGCAGCTTTACAAAATTTCTCTTTTAAGTGGCAAAAACTTCAGACATTTTTTTTTCACTTCTGAGCTCTGCTGACAAGTCTTAATTTCAATCGTTTGATGTTTAAGTCTAGAGTCTCAGGTTTCAAGATTTAGCGATTTCAATCACAAGGGCTCGCGCATAACAAAGAGAGCAGGGCTTGAGTGCTTCGTCGTTTTAAAAGCGAATTGTAGTTTGATATTTTTTCAGGGGCGGAACTACAGTGCCGCCAGACCCCGCAATGCGGGGGGGCCCAGACCGAATGGGGGCCCAAAAAAATCCCGGCTAAATTATTTTTAAAAAAAATTTAAAAAAAAAATTTAAAAAAAAAAAAGAAAAAAAAAATAGGTGGAGGTCGAGTTATCTTTCTTCTACAGTTACAAAAAAACACGATAGTCGGCAAACGTCTTTGAAAAAAAAAGTACAGACTATAGCTCGAGAGACCGCCAGACATATAGACAACTTCAAAGACGCAGGGGCGGAACTACAGTGCCGCCAGACACCGCAATGCGGGGGAGGGGGGCAGACCGATTGGGGGCCCAAAAATCCTGGCTAAATTATTTTTAAAAAAAAATGTAAAAAAAAAAATTAAAACAAAAAAAATTAATTTTTTTTTTTTAAATAAGGTGGAGGTCGAGTTATCTTTCTTCTACAGTTACAAAAAAACACGATAGTCGGCAAACGTCTTTGAAATAAATGTACAGACTATAGCTCGAGAGACCGCCAGACATATAGACAACTTCAAAGACGCAGGGGCGGAACTACAGTGCCGCCAGACACCGCAATGCGGGGGAGGGGGGCAGACCGATTGGGGGCCCAAAAATCCTGGCTAAATTATTTTAAAAAAAAAATGTAAAAAAAAAAATTAAAAAAAAAAAATTAATTTTAAAAAAAAAATTAGGTGGAGGTCGAGTTATCTTTCTTCTACAGTTACAAAAAAACACGATAGTCGGCAAACGTCTTTGAAAAAAATGTACAGAATATAGCTCGAGAGACCGCCAGACATATAGACAACTTCAAAGACGTAGCCTACCTTTTTACTTTTAGTGGCGTCGATTAGGAGAACAAAAAAGGATTGTTATATTGTTTACATTATTATATATATATATATATATATATATATATATATATATATATATATATATATATATATATATATAATATATGATTGTGTGTTTAAACTACTGGCCTGGACTCTACAAAAAATATAATTATTTATTTCGATGTCATACATTTATAATTGCGTTCATTTTTACTTTAACAACTGTATCAATAAACTTGTGAAAGTTTAAGTTATCTCCCTTTAGCGAAGCATCTGAAGTTTTTGCCGGCACGCTTTGAAATCGGGCTGGGGAAATGTTGCGGCGACTATTCTGGTCTTCTAGACGACCGGAAAAAGTCGGCACTATTGATGTAGATGTTTATCGGCACTTTCTAGTCCCCTTCCTTTGAACCTTCCCAACTCTCACCCCTCCCCCCTCACCCCTACCCCTCACCTCTACCCCTCACCACACCCTTACTCTTACAATAAGATGTAATGCATAGATTAACGAACCGTCTATGAACTACTGAACTGTAAACTGACTACTTCTGCACATTTTGTTAAAGACACTAGTCAGTAGTTGTATGTTCATTTACCTGATGAAGTATTTTGTTGACGAGTCTAATTCACACAACAAGGAAGGTAAGGCTCGTCTTTATATTATTAATTGTTTTATAATTAGTACACGTATTAATTGAACATTAGTTATTAACACTAAATACATTAAAGTTAATCAAATTTAGGATACAATGATCTAGCTTTTAAGCCTAAAAACAACCAAAAGATCTATATCACCTTTGAATGTATTAATGTTTAATTTCATGTTTAGCCCGTAACGGGGAGGGGTTATATTCGGTTATAATATGGGTGGGTCTTTGGCAGTGTTTCTTCCAGACTTTTTTCTTCGGGGGGGGGGGGGGGCACTTGAAATTTTCGGAGGGGGGGGGGGGGGGGGCGGGCACTGTTAAAAGTATATATTTTCTATATAAATTATATAAATTTAATTTCTTTCGGGGGGGGGGGGGGTGGGTGCGGACCGCACCGGGTGACACCATTTAGGGGGGTGACACCAAGGCAAAAAATAGCAAAATATATAGAGAAAAACTCGAGGGGGGGTGCAAATCGAAAGTTTGAGGGGGGGTGCAAATCGAAAACTTGAGGGGGGGGGGGGGTGCAAATCGAAAACTTGAGGGGGGGGGGGGTGCAAATCGAAAATTTGAAAGTTTGTCCCTGGGAAGGGTCTCTATGCCTCTGGGGGGGTGACACCATTAAGTGCCGCACCGGGTGATACCCGACCTCGCTACGCCACTGCACCCGATATATATATATATATATATATATATATATATATATATATATATATATATATATATATATATATATATATACATATATATATATAGGGGCCTAAAAAAATTTTTGCGGGGGGGCCATTTTTTTCTAGTTCCGCCACTGTATTTTTTCTTCTTTTTTTTTTATAATTTTTAAAAATTCTAGTTCCTTTCCGTTCTTTTTTACTTTCTCTTATACGGAGCGTAGAGCAAGTATTGTAATCGTGCACACAAATCTCTTAAAATTTTGAGTTTTCGCTGTTTTACACCTCAGTACTTCATCACACGCGAAGTATAAGGGACTTATTTTTAATCGGGCGAAAATTCTAAATCCAGATTTATCAGTGTCCGCGTTTTACGCGTAATCGAGTCGGAAAAACTTGGTTGTGCAATTTTGTCCGTATATATGTATGTATGTCTGTGAACACGATAACTTCAGTACCGTTACAGCTAGGTCAGGGGTCGGCAACCTTTTGAAGCGTAAGAGCCAAAAGTTACAATTTTCAAAATTTCCCTGGTTTTAAAGAGCCACTAACATTTTTTTTTATTTCAAATTTTTTTTATTAAGATTATTAGTATTTGTTCAAGGAGCTGGAGAGCCGCATCTTGATATTAAAAGAGCCGCAGGTTGCCGACCCCTGAGCTAGGTTAATGAAATTTCATATATGCTATAAGTATTATATCAAATGTGTAGTTCAGTATCAACTTTTCAGCCATTTCCGATAGCCAGAAGTGGAACTTATTCTACCTTTGGTTTTTCAAAAGCCTATAACTTGTTTTGTTCTGTAATTTTTTAAAACCAAATGTGGAGATAATTTGTATGTAGGAAGAAAATTCAATTGATTAGAAAGAAGGAAAAATACTACTGCCACCCCTTGTACGTTATAGGATCAGTGGTCACTTTACAACAGGGCACCTTGGTGATTCTATGTACCACAATACACACAGGTCAGTGAGGTGAGAGTTAAGTGTTTACTTGGTCAATATATAATAAGAATAAGAGGTCCTAATTTGGTTCCACACATATCACAACCACACACCAATCCGTGCTTGTGTGTGACAGTGTGTGGGGGCAGTCTTTTGTTTACTTGGTTGAAATATCTATAACCGTCAAAGTAGGCTTCTGCATGCACAGAAAAGTGTGGAGTGTCTTGTGTTTACATGGCCAACATATAACAGCTCAATTAGGCTTCCACACAACATACACAAATCAAGTGTTTCTCTGTGTGTGTGTGGTGGGGGATTGGGTGTTTACTGTTAAATTGGTCAATATATAGCATGTCTAACTAGACTTTCACACACTACACCACACACAAATCAGTGTTTCTGTGTGTGTGTGGGGGGGGGGGATAGAGGAAGGGATGTGGGCGTCCTAATGTTAAATTGGTCAATATATAACATGTCTAACTAAACTTTCACACATAACACAGCAGTGTTTCTCTCTGTGTGTATGCATGGGGTGGTGGTGGTGGGGTGGGGGGGGGGGGGGGGGGGGGTTGGTGGAGTGGGCGTCTTACTGTAAAATTGGCCAATGTATAACTTATCTAACTAGACTTCCACACACCACAAAACAGACAGAGCTGATGAGAGGTTTAACCAAGAGGCAGACCTATCATCACAACAAACACAATGAAAGTTACTGAAGTCTTAACTCCAGTGCTCAAATAGGATTGATACTCTATTTAATATGATAATGACACTGAAAGCGATGAATGAATAATGTGTCATCGTCTAATCTTCATCACCACTGCAAAAGAAAAAAAAAACAAATTCCTGCAAGTGGTAAAAAGATTGGCAACGGTTGAATAATGTGATAATGACAGTCTTAATTACCACAGCAATTAAAAAAAAAATTCTTTATGGTAATAAGACTGGCATTTAGTGAATAATATAACAGATACAAGTTTTCAAATACCACAGTGGCAAAAACAATATTCCTTCAGTGGTGTTTGAACAATTAAGTTTATATGAAGAAATTAAGATATCAGACAATGTATACACTACTCTATATTTACAGACAAAAAT